GGTGGTGGTGGGGGTGCTGGGCTAGAGGGGCAGGGACTGCCCCAGCCACCAGAAGCCCCAGGCCAGGCAGGGCCCAGGGAGTGGCTGCCTTTGCCGGGTGCTGTAAGGCTGTGCTGGGCAGGGGAAACTACTACAACCTGCAGGCCAGACACTGTTCCCTGCTGAGCCAGGGAAGAGGTCTGGGCAGGACTCAGCTCTCCTGCAGAGACCGCAGGGGAGGAGCCACCGCCTGCTGCACTGAGACCCCTGAAGCTCTGCAAGGGACACCAGCAGCAGGGACAGCCCACAGCTCCTGTGCCAGGGACACAGACACAGCCCTGCTCTCTGAGACACCCACACAGGGGCAGTACACGCAGGGTCCTCAGTACACAGTGGACAAGTTATAGACTGTGTAAATAAGTTCTTGATAGTTTATTAGTTGGAGTATCAATGTATTTATTTATTGGTTCCTTATTTATTGTGGGTAATTTGTATAACTTCCCCTAGTGTAATGTATATCCAAGAAGCATTAACCCTTAAGCCACCATCACCAGGTCATGCAGTGTAATATTTATTTTATTTCATTGGTTATATATTACCTTGTAAATAATTAAATCCTGTAAATAGTTTTAGAACAGTTTGCAAGGTTGTTTGATTGTAAGGGGAAGCTCTTCGCTTGGGGACCCTGCAGCAGTTACCCAGGGAGCTGGGTGGGGCCACTAGCTACTGGGTACTCCAAGATCTCACTATTCAGGTGAGGGTGCAGGTAGTGTTGCGCCCAGGGTTACACGTATAATACTTGCATAGAGCCTGACAAAATGAATCTGTATTGTGTGAACTATTTATCATGACTGTGCCAGCATACTCGCTTTTTCCAATCTTTAACTCCCTCTTGGGAAGCAGAACAAAATAATGACTGTTTGGCATGCATCACCAGGGACCAGCATGAAGTAATGAAACTTCTCCCCCATGGTGATGTTCTTAAAGCACGCAGTTCTTACATTTAACAAATTGTTCCTTTATTTAAGGGTTATATCACAGAAACCAGAGCCTGAGGTTAACTTCAGCTTGCCACAAAATGGATGTTTTTACACAATGGTGCAATGTAAAGATACAAGACTTAATTTTAAATGAATTACCTTGGGTGCTGAAAACAGTGCAGTGACAGCAAGCCTGAGAAGCAGGGCAAAATAATCCACACTCAGTGCTGTGCTGTTGTGGTTAGACTACACAGACAGGGGGGGAGGGAGGGAAGGCTGAGCTCTTCAATAAGTTTTTTGCCTCAGTGTTTCTGAATAAGGGTCAAGACAAGTCTCCTAATAGGTTCTTAGATGGGCATCTGAGGGACACCAACCTACCAACTGTTGACACTGACCTGGTGCAGAGTCACTTGGATGGGCTGGATGTGTTTAAGTCAGCAGGCCCGGATAAGCTGCATCTGAGAGTACCGAAGGAATTGGTCAATGTCATAGCAGAACCCCTGGCATGGGTGTTTGAGCGCTCGTGGCACTCAGGTCAGGTCCCAGAGGACTGGAAATCATCAGCAAAGCTAACTGCACTGTAGAACGAAGGAGGCAATACTTCCCCGCTATGCGGCGCTGGTCAGCCTGCAGTTGGAGTACCGTGTACAGTTTTGGGCACCGTACTTTAAGAAGGATGTGGATAGCCTCAAGAGGGTCCAAAGGGGCCACTCGTATGGTTAAGGGTTTGCAGGCCAGGCTCTAGGAGGAGAGACTAAGAGACCTGAATCTCTTCAGCCTCCTCAAGAGAAGGCTGAGAAGTGATCTTGTGGCCACCTACAAATTCATTAGGGGGACACAGCAAGGAACCAGAGATGCTCTGTTCACCAGGGTGCCTCTTGGGGTAACAAGGAACAATTGTCACAAACTGACAGGGAGCAGATTTAGGCTAGATATCAGAAAGAACTTCTTCACAGTAAGGATGTCCAGAATTTGGAATGGGCTTCCAAGCGAGGTGGTGCTCTCTCCTACCTTGGGGGTCTTTAAGAGAAGGCTGGATAGGCATCTGCCTGGGGTCATCTGACCCCAGCAATCTTTCCTGCCCAGGGCAGGGGGTTGGACTTGATGATCTGTTGAGGTCCCTTCCAACCCTAGCATCTATGAATCTACTACTGGTACACAACATAGGTAACTTAAAGGGAGGTCAAGTACCTCTGCCCTAAACTGCAGTCTACAGTGTAGATCATATACTATGTCCATTCCCATCACTGAAGTTCAACTTATTAATGCACACTCTACATGAAGTCGTAAATGTTTTGCACATCTGGTCCATCAAAGTTTGCCCCTTCTTCCCCCCCGGTTTGCTACTGGCAATGGGTACATCAAGCCCAAATTTCAGTCTGCAAAATACACTAGCCTGGAGTGCACACTGGTTTTCACGGGACAAGCAAGAGTCGTTTTGGGTCTTTTCTTCCCTCACTCCCTTAGAGCAATGTATTTTTATGCCACCATTATTTAGTTCCTGCCCTGCAGCTCTCTTTCTTAAAACTTTGATTTTACTTTATGCTTATGGGGATTGAGCCTGCTCCCACTTACGTGAATAGCAAAACACCCACTGATTCCAGTGGAGCAGGACTAGCCCGTAGTGGGATTCCATCATCATGGCAGTAACAGAAAGTCAATGAATTTTTAAAACACTGAGGTGCTGCATAGAGACAAAATATAAGCAATCACATGAATCTTGCAGTCCTCAGTGAAGATCAAAGATGTCTGCATAACTTGCTTTTCCCATTAGTTTTATTTTCACATGGCTTTGCTTCTTCAGGTTCCAGGCACGACTAAAAGCTGTAGTGCCAAAATACCATGAGAAAGGCTGCTCCTGCAAAATTTCTGGCTTTACCAGAAGGAGGAAAATCTCATGAAAGAATCTGCTTGTGTTTTCTTTCCAGCCCTGCTTGGCAAGGTAAAAGGTAGATTGAGGTTCCATTTGGAAGTTTTGAACCCTTTTTGAACTTTTCTTTAGTTCTCCATAATTCCTGTAAATATTTAGAACTCTGTGAATCTCTGTTATGTCAGCTGTGTTGTTCTTTCTATTGTCATAAAAATCATAAAACTTATAAAACCCAGGGATGATGAAGTTATTATCAATCTACTACTTCAAAATTAGCATAATTTATAATATGCTAGTAACAGAGGTTCAAACAAATATAGAGTCCCATTGTGTTAGGTGCTATATAAATGCATCATAAAAGAAACTTCCAGTCTGGAACAATTTACAGTTTAACCAGAAAAGGGGTGGGGGAGAGCTTTCCATCTATAACATATGATTAAAGATAGATTATGTGATTTGCCAAAGGTCACACAGGAAGTTAGTGGCAGAGCCACAAATTAACATAATCTCCTGAGTTCAGGTCTAATGCTTTAACTTCAAGACCATCATCCTCTTTCTCAAAGAAGAAGCCAGGCATGGGGAGATGCCGATTTGAAAACTGAAACATTTTTTAAAAAACAGTTTCTGAAAGAGCTGTTGGGGACTGAATCCAGCTCATTTCAGCAGCAAAAACTTGCCGCTCTCCAGTTCTGTGCTTGGCGTAGCAAACAGAGTCCACCCAAAAGTGACAGTTTAAGTGCTTAGGAGAACTCAAAAACTTAATTCTCAAGCCTACAAGTGCACCTAACCTGATGGAAGAAAAAGGTGGATTTTATTTCATGTGCTTTATGATTTTCTTGCATTGCAAGTTTTTATTGGAGCTGCTGAAAAAAAAGTAAAGAAAAAGAGCAGTTTGCTGACTCAGTGTGGCTCCCACATAAGCCAGTTTTTCCCATACTTCTGTGGTTGAGGACAGGAATTTGTCTATAACTTCATTGTCAATTACTGAAAACCATGTTGTTTTGTTCCTTTTATAAATTGCTATAATAAACTGTTGTAATCCAATTGAAATAGTAATGTGATTCCCATTAAAGGCTCACTTCTTTCAAAGTTTTCAAAGCAATAAACAAAGTTGACTGCTTGGAGTGAACTACAGAAATACAGTCCAGTCAATCTTTATGTTAATCAAACACAAGAAGCCCATGCTGTTTCCAGTATATATTTTATAGCTAAGACTTATAGCCAGTGGCAACATGGTAGGCTGAAGTTCCTTGGGTGCTGGTATTTACCAAGGAGGACATGGCTACAGTTTTGAAAAACATGAGCTCCCTAGGGAGGATGTGTGGGGCACTGCACTGCCTCAGGGGGAATTCATAGAGCCAAGGAATATATTTCTGACAGCACTAGAAAGATGCCCCATGCAAAGTCCATTAGTCAGAACAAACACATCTCTGTTTTGCATGATGCGAGTGGATTCTAAGGGCACATTACTGCCTTCTCGTAAAAAAGGGTGCTCTTTGTGACAGAAATTCCTTAGCATACTGCATACTACAGCTAAATCAGAGAGGCCCGCCCCACCCCCGCACCCCCCCCCCAC